ATACTTGCCACTTGCCACCTAACACGTGTCTGCCTTCCAGTGCTGCTGTATGTCTAACACAAAACAAGGTGCTCTGGGATACGTTAAGATACGCTAGTCAAAATACGGAATATGATAAAACATGTGGAAAGGTAAGTGGACCTCTGTGAGATGCATTTATCTAGATTCCTTACTGCTGTTCTGCTGGACCCTTAAGGAAGCTGGTGGATATTATAGCTGCTCTTTGTTCAGGATAAATGTAAGAAGCAGTTCAGCTCTTTCAGGAGTAAGTTGCTAAACAAATATAAGCCACCACTCAAAATACAGGCCACAAGCAAGGCGGGTCAGGAGATGAGCTAAATGGACAAAGATGTCTCACTTGGGCTGAAAGAAAAGGCAGATGTCTGGGTAAAGTTTTGGCAGGGGTGATGAGGAAATGTTTTGCTTGCAGGCATTCAGGGAAGGTAACAACAAAGCCAAGGAGAACCAAAAAAGTTTTAGAGTAGGACCCAGAGAGAAAGCTAAGAAACACTGTTATGGATAAAGAGCTTGCTTGTGGATAAAGTAGTAAAGAGGCTTGGAACCCAGAGCATGGAAACTGCTTCCTATCATTTTCAGTGAGACTGGACTTTCTTAGGACCTTTCTTTGTAAGCAAACAGGATTCCATTGGAAAAAAACCCATTAGGCTCTCATCATTTCTTCCCAATGGAAATAACCCACAAGACCTTGAATGTTAGCTAACTGTTCAAGCCAAAGTAAGCTGCACTAGCAGTGAATTACAGGTCCCAATTTTTGCCGCTGATGCCAATATCATAAAAGGAACAGCTGCACTCAGCTACAAACTGTATCTAACAAGGCAGTTTGGGGTTTCAGGGAGTGTACCAATCTTTTCCTCCCACTGGGCACATCTAAATGATAGTGCCACCCGTATGATTAGAGACTTGCACAGCAAGCCATATGAGGAAAGGCTGAGGGACCTGAGACTCTTCAGCCTGAAGAAGAGTAGGCTGAGAGGGGACTTGGTAGCAGCTTACCACTACATCAGGGACGTACATCAAGGGCTTGGTGAACAACTTCACCATGGTACCCTTGGGGAAAGCCAGGAGTAATGGTCACAGACTCCTGGAAGACCATTTCAGGCTCAACATTAGGAAAAACTTCTTCACAGGTAGGGTGTCCTGACTGTGGAACAGGCTCCCTCCAGAGGTGGTGCAATTGCCTACCCTGGAAATCTTCAAGAGGAGACTGGATGGTCACCTTGCTGCAGTCACCTGACCCCAGTTGTCTTTTCTGCTTGGTGCAGGGGGACTGGACCTGATGATCTTCTGAGGTCCCTTCCAGCCCCTTCCAATCTATGAATATGAATACATGTGCACTTTAATGCACAGTAGACTAATTTACTGTGCAGTAAAGCATCATCATCTACACGTGCGCTGCAATTAGTTTACAGTAGACTAATTTACTTTGGCATAGGATAGTCCTGTCAGACAGATACTATCTGATAGTGGAGTAAATTACTGTATTTAAATGCACATGTAGACAGTGACATTGGGATTTGTTTACTTTGGCTCAAATTGCACCAGAGTTTATTCAGTTGCATTAATTGCAGGTGGAGACATGTCCACTGTGAATCAAACTAAGTCATGAAACAAAAAATGAAATGCCACAAAAACAGGCCAGTTTGGCCAATTTTAAGGTAAATGTTGTGAATCCAGTAAACAGAAAGGTTTCAGACACAGTTTGCACAGACTTATGAAGAGCTTGCATAGCACAGTGATAGTTTCCAGGAGCCCAAGATGAGTTTGGAGTTGGTTTCAATGCTGAGAAAATTTTGTCACTTCATTTAAGAATTTATCAGTCTGGTGCTGGGTCCTGTGGCATAACTGAAAAAAGAGTGGCACAGAGCATGGGTTTTACCAGGCTCTACAGGAACCACATATGCTCATGCACCATTTTGATTATATACCTCACTAAGGTGTTTCTGTGGGCTGGCTTTTTTTGAAGTTCTACAGTTATGATGCAATGTTTGAAAAATGCTAATGATCACTATGCACAACCATTCTGCCCATAAAGCCATTAACAAGACACGCTGTCACCTCTCCTCCCTCTCCTGCTAAGCAGCAAGTGTAGTACTACTACTTCAGAGTGCCATAGGAAGGTTCTGAAGGATGCTGATGGCTCTACTGTAGTTTCAGAGGGATTTACATGTATATTACTTCTTACTCCTTTACAGCAATTTGCTGAAACAGAAGGGCCCTAAAAACCCAACAGTCCTGTCTGAATTTTTTTTACAAAAAATGGTGTGTTAAATTAAATTAAATGGGCACAGATCATGGAATTAGGCATCTATCCTTGGCCACGTCCAAAGGGCAGAAAAGTTGAAAAGAGTGCCATGATTATTATTCTCATGTTCATAGACAGCCATGATTATCCTGGTAGAAAAGTCTAACTGGGGAGTTACAGTAACGGTACAGGCCTTGAAACAACCCACCAAAAAAACCCACATGCAGACATTTCCATGCAGAAGGAAAAAAAATGAAGACATTCTTGCTCCTGCAATCTCTTATTGTGTATGTTGGTTAATCCTTCCCCATATGGCTTCCCCACACAGACTGCATAAGTTAAGGGACTTAGGCCTTGCAGTAGACTTTGAGAAATATAGGGCTCATTTCTGTCACAATATCTGTTACTTCTCTCCACCCACCCCTTTCCTCCATCCTTTAGTGAGGTCTACCACAAAAAGGGTCACCTTCATGCATTATTACAAAGACCATACCATTTTCCAGAAGAATTCCCTGCCTCATCCACTATTATAAAAGGTCACCAGGATCTGTGTAAAGTTCTTCCTCCATGTCCCACAAGTAACCAGACACAATGGGTCTGGTGCTGGATTTTTGAAGGCCCTTGTAAAATTAAAGGACTTGAAATAAGTTGCTGGTTTTCTATTCAAGTCAGAAGTAGCAAAGATTTTAACTGAGGTTTGCTTTAAGTCATAGCATTTGTTCAAACCAAGCACTATGGGAAATGGAACAGAGGAAGAAATTAATATAAAACCCTGCAAACCAAAGTCACTAAATGTCACACAGTACTAGTTACAACAACTCATCATGCTAAATGGAGATTATATAGAGTTTTGAAGATAAAATGGAATTGCTCTTTTGATAATGGCCATCTCAGGAGAACATGCAGTCCAGCTTCAGAAATTTCTTAGAGATGAAGAAAGACAAAAAGGGAAATGCTGCACTATATTGGTCATGTGACAGTCTGTCACCCACCCTGCCTTATGCTCTTTCCCTACTTGTATCCATTGTCCTGGTTAAAGAGGATCTAAATTCTCTGAATGTCAAGCACTTGGAAGTCCAAAATTTCATCCCAGGGAATATGAAAATGGTCTCAGATTTGGTGGGTCAAACATTTACAAACTGATATGTGAATGTAGAACAAACATGGCATCAACACTTGCTGCTCTGTACATGCAACTGTCACCCATCCTAGTGAATCAATCCACTCTGTAAAGCAGTCGATCTAGAAATTATGGCAAGGAGACAGTTGCTCGCTTTTTTTCAGATGCAACTGCAGCATTCCTAAAGGTATGGTTTCTGATGGGTGTCAACGACAGGTAAAATCCTAAGGCAGGCACTGAATGCCTGCTCTGTCTGAAAGTTTCTGAATATAGACACATTCCTAAACAGTCAACCCTTCCTACTAACTCTTTCTTTCCCTTTGTCTTTTGCAGACAGCTTTATGTTATACACAGAAGGACCAGAAAGATACTGCTTCCTAGAGTGGGATCTATCTTGAGACTCTTGACACACATTCTACAACAGGCTCTCTTACAACAGGCAAGTGATCCAACCTCACATTTTCTCCATTATTGTCCATGTCATTTTCATTCAGCCTTCTAATCTACTCATCCAGCCTTCCTTGTCTAACTGTTCTCACACAACACAGGCATTGCCTGAACCCTATAGATGTAAGCAACACGAGAAGTGCTATCCAAGAAATAAGCCACGCAGAACACACTGTGTCATACTCCAGGCCTTCCATGGTACCTTTGCGGTATTTCCATACAAATGCTATATTTCATGTCTTTCCTTGGTGAAGTTAATAATGGAAACTGTTCATTTGGGCCAACAATCTGCCTTCAGTGGTGAATTTTTGAAGAGCTAATGCGATTGAGTGGTCAGAGCACAAAAGGGGCAGCCACACATCCACCAGTGTTCATTCCAGCTCAGTCACTGCCTCATTTAGTGGTTTTGGATAAGTCATATCAACTCTCTCTCAAATTCCCCTTTCTGAAAAGGAAATGATATCCATCTACCTCATGGGCAGGCTGCATGAGTAACATTAATACTTGTAAAGAGCTTTCAAACTTAGTCATGCTGTGTAAATGCTAAACATCACTCCTCACTCACTGCTCCATCCAAGAACAAGAATCAAAATGATTCTTCTGTCCAGGGTCCAACGATTTATGTTCCACTGCTGTGGAGCCACTCAGCCAGTAGAGGGAGCTCAGGTATACTAATGAATTCTTATATATGCTCAGTACTGCTAGCAAACTACATGGACACAAAACAAGAGAATGCCTAGGATATTTCTCCACTAGAAATTCAAAGAAAAAGGCATCTCTCTCTCAATTTCTAGCAAATGGAAAAAGATAAAAAATGTTACGACCGTTGTCCTCAAAGTTATATGAAGTCTTTTGGAAACACTGGAAAGTAAAATGGAAAAAAATTAAAGATAACGTAAGCTGGATCTATTAATTTTTAAGAGGGTTGTGGTACGTCTCTACTCCCTGTTTTCACCATGCCTGTTAATAAAACAACAGATATTCCCTGCATACACTTTCCATGTTACACCCTTGCATTCAATCTGACAGCAGAGGACTCTCACAACAGTTCTTACTAGGAAAAAATAAACGAACCTTTTAAGAGTACCTTTGCTATTGTCACACTGAAGGATCAGAAATGCTCAAGACCATAAAACCCCAAAAAGGAAGGCAGAAGAGAGCTGGACTCACCTCATCCAGTTTGCTTTGGTTTCATCTGTCCCATCTATGGATTTGTAGCGGTTGTTCTTATCAACAATCTGAAGAATAATAAAACGAAGACAGCAGGTCAATGGGCTGTCTCAGGGAATGGGATGCAGAACTTTTCAGGTGCTGGTCAGCATAGGTAGTCTTTCATCTCTAGTTCAACAGTTCAAATGCACCTGGAGCATTACTGACTCTAGGTTACTCCCACCAGATGTTTGCTGGGCCTCCTTCCATTCATGAAGTGAATTTGATAGTCTAAGGCCATTTTCCATTTACCAAGATGCAAGAGACTGAACTCTCACATCCTCTGCCCATATAGGTTATCTTTCCAGAGCAGGGCTGGGGTTTATCCCCACATTTTACAGGCAGCTAGACTTAGGTACGGAGATAAAAGTGACTTAAGTCTAGATCATAAAGCATCCTCATGAGATAGCTGTGAACAGAACTTTGGAGTCCTGCTTCCCAGTTCCTTGCTCTAACTACTATACAAAACAGTTGTCAACTTTTTTATAAACACAATCCCAAATCTACCTGTAGGTTGCTTAAAGCAACCCACACTATGTTACGGCTGCAAAAGATGAAGTTGTTCCTGATAAGCTGATGGACTTGCGAGATACTGGGACTCCTAAATCCTAAGCTTCTCCCACCCACTGATCTGCTCTTGGAAAGTTCTACTTCAAGAGGCTGGGCAGACAGCTGACCCATCTCCAGAAATAATGTGTAGGTTAAGCAGAGAGAAAGAAGATGTTTGAGGAAGAAGCTCCCAAAGGCTGAATGGTGGGAGGCAAGGCAAGGAAGAAAGCAGGAAAGTTGAGAGAAGGTACAAGCTACTTATTTATTCCCCCTATGTTCATTACTACAAATCTGTAGCTTTCTCAGTTGATGAAACAAAACACGAAAGATGCTCCTTTGTGTACTGCATGCACTGTGTGACACTAGTGGTCAAGTCCTCCCAAATCTGTGACTATAACCTTGGAATCCCGACTCTTTCCCACCACCCCCAACCTAGGGCTGCTGTAAACAAAAAGCAGCAGAAAGGCATCTGCTTTCTTAGAGACTCAATTTCTAGCTTTCCCATCCCATAATTTACTGTGCTAAGATGCGTGCTTAGACAGTACACAATGAGGAAGGCAGCTAGGACACTTACCAGCCAAGAGAAAAATCCAGCTGACTTGTCCTGGCTGGAGATCTGGCCCTCGTATGGTCCAAAGATATGACCTTTGGGGATAACCTCGTTCATACAGCGCACGTCATTCTCCCCACTGGGTTCTTTCACCACCTCCATGCCAGGCGGGATGGTCAGTGATGCCCGGTCAGGGATCCCAACGGGCACTGGAGTGTCTGACACAAACACAGGGGGACCATGGTTCGGACACTCATCCACAAAGTACTCCTGGCAGGACTCGCAAACTGTAGGTGTGAGGTGGGGAGAAAACAGGATTAGATTCGGCAGAAGTTTCAACATCTGAAAACAATGAATAGCTCATACAGACTATCCCAATGAGGACAGAACTCAGATTTTCCTATTCCAAGAGTTAAGACACCTGCTACCCAAATTAAAGGAAAATCTGTTATGAACACGTGGTCTATGACACAGTCCAGCAGTTCCAAGTCTATTCATTAGGGTGCAGAAATGTGTGCATGGGCATGTATTAAACCACAACCCGTTTCACTTCAGTAGAAAAGAAATTGCTTCCTTTCCCTGATACTTTGGCTTTATCTCCTGCTCACTTTCTGTATCAGATAAATCCTCTTTCTATTCTAGAATGTCTACAACTCTGTTCTCACCTAATCCTCCTCCCATATCTCCTCCTACAGCATTCTACCACTTGCCCAAGCTTTAGCCCAGCTTCTATCCCTGCCACAGCTTGCACCTGGAGAAACTTGCCTAGCATCCTCTCCTTGAAATTCATCTTGAAGGCACTCTTGCTCCAGAAAGCATGGCAGTGAAACAGGTCTCTGGATTACATGCCATTCTGTACCATGCTGTCTCACCCCTTTAGACCAGTAACTATCTGAGACACATATGACATTTTCTTGCTGAGTACATGACCCACTGTCCGGTTGTATAAAATAATGGTTTCCACTGCTGGCAGTGTTTCCCCTATGAAATATAGTTGAAAACACAGGGTTTCAAGAGACAGAATTTAAAGAAAGCTTTCTAAAATACTTGAAACTCTTCCTCCTAACTAAGGAGAAAGCACCTCGTCACGGATCCTGTTCCCCCCAGCAAAGCAAGAGTAACTCCTATGGATTTCAATTGGCATTACTATGCCTTGGGGGCTAGGATGAAGTCTGACTGCAACATTTTTTCATTTATGGTGGGAACCTGACATGCAAGGCCCCTTGTACAAGGAATATTCAGAATTCAAAAGGCTGAAAGCAGACAATGCCTTGGAAAGTTAACCTGCACCCAGAAGGAGTGACCTGGAGCTTTGACTCTTTTCTTCTTCCTAGTGAATCTGGGACCACACACACCATATACAGACAGCTTCAGCATCTGCATCTTCAGCAGCTTAACTGAGGGGATGTTAGATCAATTCTGTGACAAATTCCCTCATTCTAGAGGAAAGGGGTGGACACAGAAAAGAAGAAAGGCTATCTAGATGGAGTCATCTCTAGGGTAAAATACTTACACCAGAAATCTACTTGCTGAAAGCTCTTTGTCATTATTAAATCCCGTTTCCCTTTCAGTTTCTTAGGCTCTACCTCCATGGACTGTGGGTCAGGCCTCCCAGAGCTGAAAAGATAGCAAAAGGAGGTGGGGGGAAGAAAAAAAAATTCTTAGGGCTACATACAGACAGTTAAAAAGCCCAAGGATGAATCGATTCAATCTTTGCTGGTTACTCTAAGCTGTGTAGATTGAACCAATAAGCAAGTGAACAGACATTCACTTTCGATTCTGAAAATGCAACCACATGCTTCCAGTGGCCCAGGCGAGAAGCTGGGAGGTGCTAGAGCACGCCTCCCTGCTCAGCTGGAGCAGACAACTTGGGCCAAGGCTAGCCCGCCCAACCTGCAAGGTGGAGTTTGCAGGGAAGGTGCAAAACATCCTGGGATGCTGAGGGACTGTGAGTTAACTTGAATCTGGAGGGGATCTGAGAGATTTCAATAAATCTATTTAATCTAAAACAACTAAATCTGATATTACATCCATCCAGATTTATCTTAAAACAATTGTGGCCATTTTGAACGTGGTTTATGTGCACTAAACTTCTGTTGTGTTACAAATGTGAACCAGTTTTCAATCACTTATGCCAGTTTATGTGTAACTTCTGTCCCTAGCCTAAAGTACAACATCCTGAATGGAGAATAGAGAAGAACTCTCTGACAGACAAGAGAGAAGGGATGGTAATAGCCTTGTGCTGCTCCTCAGGCCTAAAGGAAAGAAAAGTACCCAAGGCTGATCCCATGATCTAATCTAAAGATATTTGATGCCCCAGCCTGCCAGAGCATGTTGCTCAGGTAGTATTATGTAACTAATGCTTACAGCACTTAGTGGCTTCAGACAGACATCGTGAACATCCCAGCCTGCTGGGATGCCAGTAGCTTTAAGGGGAGCACAATCCATCAAATCCACTTTGAACTTATGAACGTAGAAGAGAAGACAGGAAAAGCAAGAGTGCTTACCAGGGGTGTCCATACTCCTGGTCCCGGTGTGGAGAACAGGCCTCAGTCTTTATTGTTACCATCTCCCCTAAGGAAGTCTGGGTCTGGATCAAACAGTCCTTCAGGTTTTCACTCATGTTCTGAAAGAGAAGAGGGGGGGAAGGTGAAGGGTAGAGAAGCTGTGAAATTCCTTCCTAAACCAAATATCTAGTTATTTGCTACCTTCCCTTTGACAAGAAATCACTGCCACTAGAAACAGTGACATCTGGGCTATCCCCTTCCCTCCCAGTGAAAAATCCCTTCTAGAACCAAGAGACAATAGCAATTCTATCATGAGGTAGACTTAGTGTGCAAGATGTGGGGAACCAAATGGGGTACTGGAAATCAGGATTGTGCTGATAATACAATGACAAAGCTAATATAGAACGACAACCTTTGAAATCACTGGGTAGAACATTATAGCATATAACTAGAAGTGCAATTTTAAATAACATGGAGAAACAGAATGTAAGGGGGCAATGAACTACAGCTTGTCTAGCAGAATTGTTATACAACTTTCCAGCCTGACTCAGAGTCCAGGGAGGAGTTATACATAGCTAGATGCAGTCAAGCATCCTTAGTGTTCAAAGGCATGCAGGAATTCACCAGACCTGCATGCCTTACGGTTCTTCAGCTCTCTGCTCCTTGTGATTAATGGAGACCAGTTATTACCATACTTCCTGAAGGTATATTATTTTAATGATAAATGTTACCGTCTTGGCTCATTGCAACAAGGAAACATTTGATGAAATTAAAAGGTGGCAGATTTAAATTCAAAACCAATTAAAGGGAAAGGCTTTTTCTCACCAGTGGTTGCCACCAGATGCCCCTGAGACCAAGAACTTAACCAGATTCAGAAAAGGATTGGGCATTTATATGGCTATCAAGAATTCCTGGAATTAGCATAATTGATGCTCACAAAATTTTGGAAGGGATATTAAACTTTGTGTTTGGTGGCTTAAGACAGTATCTAAATGTCCTGCTTTCCAACGAGACCAAATACGCATACATGTGTAGGTATGCACAAATGGGAGTGTGTATGCACAAGAGAATATCCATCACCTGCTATTGTGTTGTTCTTACACCTTCTTCTAAAGCACCTGGTAGTGGTTGCTATCAGACTGGGTACTAGACTTGATGGCCCTCAGGGCTGTTCTTTTGCGTCATGTTCACACACCCAACCTCTAACAGTCAGAATCCTTTCTTCGGAAATGCTCGCTGAAGAATGGTTGTTGCAGTACAGAATTGAGATCCAGACCCTATGCCATTGACTAGGCACCTAAATGCAATCCTATTTCACCGTGTCACGTCCCTGAAAATTCATGAATACATCTACTTTTGTAACATGCTGTCATCTTACCCATAAGACTGACTTCTCCACCCTCTGGAGTAACAGAATTTCAGGGACTCTAACAGGATGGAACAGGATGTAGTCAGGTGTCTAAATCCACGCAGACACTTCATGGGTGGGCCAGAATCTGGTCTCGGAGCTCTAATCCAGATTAAATTCTGGAATTCTTACTCTTGGTTTGTAAACGCCTTCAGGCAGTGGCTTTCAGACTCTATTTCCCCACCTGTCAATCTGTAAACTGGATGACTAATACTGATTCCCTACTGCAGATTCATCAACCAATACTCATGGGGTACTTGTACACATGATGGGGATTTAGTTCTCCCTAAACTGAAACAGTGGGTTTTTAATTGTGTCATTTAAAAACCCACCGCTTCAATTTAGGGACTTTGGTCATGTCACGTGATGTCACAGTGCATCACGGCCCCCCATCAACTTACCTCTCCCCTGCCTCTGCACCCCCCCGTGCTGCCGTGGGCAGGCTCCACCAGAAAAAAGTGGTGAGGTGCCCAATCCTGCCCCCCCACCCCCCTGCAGAGCCTACCTGACTCTCCCAAAGCAGAGGTGAGGGGGGGAAAACGAGGTGTTGGCAGGTCGAGCGGTCCCTGAGCTGCGGGGCACCCTGGTCCTTCCCTCTGCAGTGGCAGTACCCCCTGGGCAGCACCTGCCCACTAGCAGTGCACCCAGGTGGTCCGGGGGGCGGGGGGAAGGAAACAGTTTGTTGCTACCACAGAGGGAAGCACCAGGCCCTGCACAGCTCAGGCAGGCTCTGGGAAGGGGGTGGGGGCGGGGATGTAGAAGATCAGGCTCCTCGCTGCTTTTTGGGTTTTTTTCTCCCTCAGTGGAGCCTGCTTGCATGAGTTGCCACCAGGTCGCACAGCCCCTGAGCTGCATGGCACGCAGTGGTTCCCTCCACGGTGGTGGTGCCCCTTGGGCGGGATTCTGGCAGGCGCCTGCCAGGTACCGCCGCCCAGAAGGAAAGGTCTGGGGTCCCACACAGCTCAGGGGCTGCTTGGTCCACCGGCAGCTGGCCTCCTGGCCCCATACACCATCCCCACTGCCTTCCCGCCACCTGGGACAGCCCGGGAATGGGCTGGCTTGCCCCGGGACAGTGTGGCAAGATGGCAGGAGGGCAGCCAGATGTGCGGGCGGCGGGAGAAGGCGGTGGGAACAGTGCACAGGGCGCTGGAAACCCGCCATCCTCAAGCTTCCCTGACCATGTCAGGGCTTCCAGCACCCCGTGTGCCACTGCACTTTATGTAGCAAACTAAAATACCTTGGATGTGTTTTATATTGCTACGTAACAAGGTCATTTAAAGCGAAATACGCTGCCAAAGGTGTAAACAGCGATGGCATTAAAGTGGTGCAATAGGGCAATTAAACCGCTTTGAAGGACAAGACTGTTGTGTGTACAAGCACCCCTAGAGTGCAATGAAAGTGTAGCCTTATTGTAAGTACCATAATTCACACATACCCACATGAAGCACTTAATGCTTTGTTTGTCCAAAAGACAATCAAAAACTCTCATGACACGTCCGAGATGCCCCAAGAAATTTGAAACTTCAAATCTTTGTTGCCTTTACTCACTGGGCCTGTGTATTTTAGGGGGCTAAGACCCTTGTTTGCCTTTCCACACACCAAGAGACGAAATAATTCAAACAACTGATTCTAGGCACTTTGGCTGAAGAAAGGGACAACCTGTCTTCCCTAGAGAAGCTGAAATGCTTTGCTTAAAGAGCTTGCCACAAGAATGTATTGGAGATAATGAATAAATAATAGAGCAGACCAATGAAGAAGAAAAAGGGCTGTGAGGGATACTTCCCCAAATATCCTCCCTTAGTGGCTAGCTGCAACGTGGAACTATGTTCCTTAGAGCACAGGAGGCACATGATAATGTCAGTACTGGGACAGACATTCAACTACATTTTCAGATGACTGCATGGCAGAAGAGACTCAGAGGACAAACTCTTAAAGTTTGAGCATCCACAAACCAGAGGCTTTCAGCAGACTTGCATGCCTCATTGTGAGCAAACAACAGTTTTACTCTCCCTGCTACTTCCTTCAAGGTTACAAAGCAGGACCAAATTGTCTAGTTAGATCTGTGTAACAGGCTGTAGGACTGGATTAATTTCCAGTTAAACCACTCTATCTTTAAAAAAAATCTTGTCTTGATTTAAAAAAAAAATCAGTGATGAACAAGGATCCTGGTTTACTCTGATTTAAAATAATCCTCAATTTTCGGTTAAAAAAAGTAACCCCAAATCCACATTTTTCCATGATTAAAATGAAACACCACTAATATATCTACCACATTAGTGGCAGATATATCTATATATCTACCACATTAGTGGCGTTTCATTTTTCTGTGATTTAAGTGAAACAGCACTAATATATAGATATAACCACAGAAAAATGTGGATTTGGGGTTACTTTTTTTAACATAAAATTGGGTTGTTTTTTTTTAAATCAGAGAAAACCAGGATCCCTGCTAATTACCCACAGTAATACATATTTGTGCCTTAACACTCATTTGACTTCACCCATTTTCAATTTTTAGCCATTTAATTTTGTTATACCTTTCTTTGTCTGCTAAACCAAATGACCGTCTTATCATATTTCTATGCCTCATGCAGGTTCTTTTAGACATTGATCAAGTCTCATTTCCTCCCTCTCTCAGACAAGGTAACAATATTCATTGTTTCACCTTAAGGCACATTTTCCAATCCTTTATTCTTGCATATTGTTTCTGAACACTTCTGAATTTATCATTGTTCTCTTTGACTTGGCGCCACAAAACCTGGACTCAGTATTCCCGCAGAGTTTGCACTAGTGTCAATTGCAAAGGCAATACTGCTATCCTACTCTTAGCAAAGATTTCCCAAAAAGGAAGGACTATTGGATTCTGGCCACAAGTATTGCACTAGGAACTCAGAGTTACAAATGCCTTTTAGAATCACTGCTTCCCCCACAAAAAGAGTCCTCCATCCCATATATGTAGCCTGCATTTTTTGCTACCAAATGTATGACTTTTCACATGGCCTTACATATTGCTGGCTTGTGTCCAGCTAACTGATCAATCCAGATTGCTCTTTTTCTGTGACGTGATCCTTCAGTATTTATGACTCCTGTGATCTTTGTGTCACCTGCAAACTTTTATTTGTTATGATTTTATATTTTCCCCCAGGTCACTGATAAATGGAAACCAGTAGAAACACTTCCAGTGAGTGACTCATTCACAGTTACACTGAGATCTAGCAGTATACCAGCTTTTACTTCATTTAAAGCACATTGAATTTTAATTATTCTAGTCAGTTAATCTAAATGCCATGGCATATCAAATCAAATGCCTTATACATTTTATGAATACTGTTTCTTTAAAGCAAACCTTTAATCTCATCAAAATCAAGTCAGACCCATTTGCTGTAAGCCTATACAGAGCGGCATTGGTTTCATTAATATCTTTTAATAAGTCCCATATCAGACATTCCATTACTTTACCTGCAACTAATGTTAAGGTTACATTAAATGGGTAAACCTATTTAACTGTTTTTAAGTATTGATCCACTAGATTTTTGTCCATTCCACTGAAAATGCCTCTGTAGTGCAACTTATTGGAAAAATCAGCATCAATGATCCAGAGAGCTTTAGGGCTAGCTCTTTTAAAACTCTAGGATATACATTATCCAGACCAGCTAATATCAGCTCTAATTTCAGCAGGAAGATGTTAAACAGCATCTAAGTTACTGTTGGAATGGGAAGTATCTGATGATAATATGATAAATCATCTAGCTCCTTCTCCAAATATAGGACATAATATTTACTTAAGGCTTCTGCTTTTTTATTAACAAGTTTACCATTTCCATCTGTAGAGCGATATCACTATTAGGATTCCTTTAATTCCTAATATACTTAAACCCCTTTAAATTGTCCTTATGTGTGCTGACCATTGATTTGACCTTTAATCTTTTTTCTTTTGGTATCATTTTCTATAGTGCCTATCTTCTAATTTATATTCATGGCTATCAGCTTCCTGTGTTTCCATTTCTTAATTTTTATAGCTAAATTTGAAATGCTTCCTTAGATTTAGGGTAACACAGAGACACATGTCAAAAAAGAAACATTCTATTAACTCTGAAAAGATAAAAGAGAGTACCTCCATGATACATGTGGCTATACAGATACTTATACCATCTTGTGGCAGATGTGTCAGTGCATGCAGAAACCTAGAATTATGTTAAGGAAGAATAACTCTGAACTACATTTTGTTGCCTTATGGTTCTGCTAAGAATGAAAGAAAGAAAAACACATGTAGGAGTTTCTGGGCTGTTAATTTGAAATGCAGAAATAATGTCCAAAAGGGTTCAAGCAGCAACTGGAACTTGGGAATTTCTCTCTCACAGCAGAGACCTTTCCCAATCAAGTGACAGCAGTTATTCCATCAGCTATCAGTAGTAGTCTTATTCTCTATGTGGCCCATGCACCAGTGTGGCAGAACTATATGTAGTCTCGTTACACAGACCTGGATCTTCTGGATTTTGAAAAGGCCACATAAAATTACACCCTGCTCCCCTAAATTCTTCCCCATCTCCTTGTCAATGTTTGGGCCTTTCACTTAATTTCTTATCGTTGGTCTCTGTGATTCAGATATGCAGGTATCTACACTTCTTTATGACAGTAAATTGCGTAGCAAAGACCTGTCAGGTGATCTTTTGGCACATAGTCAGATTCTTCTCTGAAAGCTGCACAATTTACTCTCATAAAGAAGTGCAGATACCTGCCTAACTGAATCAGAGACTCATAGAAAATT